CAAAAGTCACCCCACAAAAAGTCACTCCTTCCTGCCAAGGAAGCCTATTACTTCAGCTTCTGGCCCCAGTCCACTCTATAATCTTTTCTCTTGGGAAATAGCCATTCCCGGGCCCTTTTCTGGGGTAAGGAAACCATTGGGAGTGCTCCCTGGCCTTTCAGAACTTGGTCTGGATCTCAGTCTCCCTTGGAGTTCAGGGACACATCAAGGTTTCCCCTCTCCACATGCCTTACCTCCCAGCGAACTCCACTTTCGGGGACTGAGGTTTCCATATCGGCCAGTGCTGCCTTCTCCAAGGACAGCGCTGGCTGCCATTGCACCTTGCTTCTCTCCTTAGAACTCATTTCCGCTGCGATTGAGGGCTCTGAGTGTCTCATTTTGGCCCAGCTTTGCTCCTGCTGTAGGCTTTTGCAGACTCGTTATGATGACTTCAGGCAGCTTCTCAAGTAGCCTGCACAGTGCCTGCTTCTCTAGGCCCCTCCCGGAGCCTGGCTGTGTGGCCAGCCCATCCCTGTGTGCCAGGCTTCAGCAATGCTGGAGAGCCCTCCGTATCAGTCCAGTGGTCCTGTAAGTGTGCCTCCTACCCATCTCCGCAGGTCCACAACCTTCAGGAGCTCCGGCGAAGCGCATCACTGGCCACCAAGGTCTTTATCCAGAGAGATTATAGCGATGGTACCATCTGCCAGTTCCAGACTAAATTCCCCCCAGAGCTGGATAGCCGGGTAAGGGTACCTTTTGGGTGAGGACAGCTTTTTCTAAACCTGAGCTCTACTTCATGATGGCACGGGGATGGGGTGGGGCTTGGGGGTCTCCTTAGAATGTATTTTTTTCTCCGATATTATGTGACACATAATACCACAAAATGTATGACTTAGCTGCCTCAAATGGGAAGAATGAGAAATCCATTGCACTATCATGCGTTTACACACAGAAAATTCTCTGAAAAACAAAATAAAATGCAAAACCTCAGACTTGTTCCAATCCAGCAACTCCAATTACCATTACATGAGAATTCTCTAGAAAACTTGTCAAACAAATGTATATTCCCTAGTCCTTGTGGGTGAGATTGGGTATCACCAGACTTGCTGACTCAGTTGCTGGCCTGTGGCTTAGGAATCTCCTTTTGTTGGCAGCTGTCCTTAAACTTGGCTTGCACACTAGAATTTTCTAGGGAGCTGAAAAAAATCTCAGTACACCCTAAATTACTTCAGTTAGAATCTTTGGGAGTAGGTCCTAGGCACCGACACTGTTTTACAGCATCTTAATTTGCAAATTAATTTTTAAGTTAACTAAAAATTATTTTAATTATAATTATCCAGACTTCAATATTTAAATGAGGAATTCTCAGGTGAGCAAGAATTGAGTGGCCCCTAGATCCTGCTTGGGCAGTAGCCTGCTGTCTAGCACAGTGCCTGTTTGCACTCTTGGCTGAATTAGGGCCTCTTGTGAGCTTTGGGAAGTGGGGGACCAGACAAGGCATCTACTTGGGTAGGGAAAGGTGATGGTAGTATTTGCTGCTCTGACCTACCCTCCCCTTCCCAGACTATTTGAGTCCTCACCACTTGGGGCTGAGATTTGGGTGCAGCATGTCTTTAAAAACTGCCCAAGTGATATTTAATGTGCAGCCAGAACTGAGCACGACCACTAAGCCCTTGTTTGAAAATTGTGCCCTGTGGCTGACAGGGTCGGCATCACCTGGGATCTCAGACACAATGTAAGGTTCCGAGCTTACCTTAGAGCTCCCAAATACAAACGTTGGTTGTGCACGCACGCACACATTGCAGCTTCAGAAACAGAAGAGTCCTTCAGGTCTAGAAGCAGGAAGCGACTCACCCAAGTTATTAGAAAGTACTGGAAGAGCCAGGTGCTTGCCTTTTCTGCTTTTCCAGTGGCCTCTGCTGTCCATACGGATGCAAATGCATCCTCAGTAGGTATAGCTGAAAGCAGGGATGCAAATGCATCCTCAGTAGGTATAGCTGAAAGCAGGGATGCAAATGCATCCTCAGTAGGTATAGCTGAAAGCAGGGATGCAAATGCATCCTCAGTAGGTATAGCTGAAAGCAGGGATGCAAATGTATCCTCAGTAGGTATAGCTGAAAGCAGATACTATGTGACGAGGGCAGGGAAGCTTAGCAACTAGAGGAAGAGCTAGGGGGCTGCTTTCCTTCTTGTTTTTACCTGTCTTAAAAAAGATGGGAGGGAGTCCCATCTTCATCTGCTGCCGTCTAAGCCAAGGGTTGCCATCTGCCCCTGTTTCTGAGGGTATACAGTTCCTACCAGGGGCTGCCTTAGAGCTGATTTGGGATTGGAGGAGGGCAGAGGCCCAGTGCTGGTTTATGTTGTAGACCAGGCTAATTTGGGGACGTTTGAAAGGTGGCTGGTCTTTGCTGGCTGAATTGTCTCCAATGGCTCTTGGAAAACCGTGAGCATCCCGTTCTCAAGTTAGCCTGCCTGTCCTTTACAGGAAGTTAGCAGTGGTAAGGACAGGGAGGTTGAAGACGGGGCCTCAGGGTTTTTGTGGTCTCAGGAACACAGAGCAATGCTCACCTGTCAGAGAGTAGGGGTGACAGAAACGCTTTTGAGGTTATATAAGAGTTTGTGAAAAGGGTGGTGCACAGAGTTCTTAGTGTTTCCTATTGTTATGGATACAGGCCAACACCCTGGCTACACACACACACACACACACACACACACACACACACACACACAAATAATAAAAAATAGACACAGACAGAGACAGAGACACATAGGCACACTCATGCATGCACGCACATACACACATACATAGCGAGTGTGGTGGCTAGTGACTTCTTAGCTTGGAGGAAAAGTGCTCCAGGAGTGGCTCTCCAGAGCTCCCACTGTCAGTCTCAAGCAGCTGGAACCCCTCCCAAATCTGGAGAATCTGCTTGTGGGAATTTGCTGTTGAGCTCTGGTACAGCTATCACAGTGGGAACTGATCTCACCAGAATACTTCTCTGAGCGTCAGCATAAAACATTTATGACAGTAATTCTTAACCTGTCGGTTGAGATACTTTTGCAGGGGGTCAACCAACCCTTTCACAGGGGTCACAAATCAGATACCCTGCATATTAAATATTTACATTTTGATTCACAACAGTAGCAAAATTACAGTTATGAAGTAACAACGAAAACGTTACGGTTGCGGGTCACCACAACACGAGAACCATATTAAAGGGTCGCAGCATTAAGAAGGTTGAGAACCATTGCTCTAAGACATCGTGAGTCTCTTCTTCCCAAGGGAGGCCAACAGCCATGCTTGTTCCCATCCTACAGAAGAGGAAACCAACACACCTCGGGCAAACCACTTGTAGGGTCACATATCTAGGAAATGGGCAAGTCTGGACTGGACTCCGGGTCTTCTGCTCCCAGGCCTCTGTCTGCTCTGCCTGCAGCTTCTTGGTCATGCCTGTGTATCAGTATTTCACCACCTCCCACTCATGTGGCCCCAGCGCTGTTATCCCAGCCCCAGCTGGGATTGTCCCCACGTTGGGGAGGCTAACAGTCTACCTCTCTTCCTCCAGATCGAGCGGCAGCTCTTTGAAGAGACCGTGAAGACCCTCAATGGCTTTTATGCGGAGGCTGAGAAGATTGGGGGCAGCTCCTACCTGGAGGGCTGCCTGGCCTGTGCCACAGCCTACTTCATCTTCCTCTGCACGGAGACCCACTATGAGAAGGTGATGCTTCCCCGTCCTCCCTCCCCCAGCTTCCTGGCCACAGACTCACCCTCTGGACCCCTGTTTCTGCAGGTTCTCAAGAAGATTTCCCGCTACATCCAGGAGCAGAACGAGAAGGTCTTTGCTCCTCGAGGGCTCCTGCTCACGGATCCTGTGGAACGCGGCATGAGGGTTGTATCCTTCCAGGCTCTTCTGTGTGAGGGCGCAGAGCCGTTTACCACGTGGGCCCCTTGAGGATGTTACTAGGAAATAGGAGCCTCCCTGGGGGCGTTCCAGGATCCCACATATTACGGCTGGCCCTCCACTTTCAGCTACTGGGGCCACTTGTGAGTTTCGGGCTTTGTGTTTATTGCACTGCATGCCATCAGGGCTTAATACAGGCCAGGCACCATGCAAAGGCTTTGTAAAATACAATCTCATGCGATTTTCTTCGCATCTCCAAGTAGTGGGCTCTGCTTACCCTCCTGTGTATACCAGTACTCTGAAGGTAACCTGGCTGTCACTTACCTTCAAGCAGCAGATCGTTGGTCAGGGTTTGAGTCAGGCTCTCTTAACCTGCAATGCTGTTCGGTCTCAAAGAAACTACAAGCCTTCCACAATCTCATTTAATATTTGGTGGTGGGTCCCAGCACCCACTGAACACAGATGAGAAAAACGAGGTGCAGGATGGGCATTTTCCTCCGGGGTGCCTCGTCTTAGTGACACAGGCTGGGCAAGGGGTGGAGATAGTTCTGAGACCCCACCTGGAACAGCTGTTCAGGTGAACAGCTCCCCTTTCAGTAGCAACAGAAATAGAATAGTTAAAATAACACATTTTACAATAAAGCTGAGAGGAGTTCAGAAAACAAAATCCCTAGAAACACAAGTTCCACCATGCTTCTTTTCCACTGGGCCCTTGTGTTGTGCTTAGCACTTAGATAGTCCATTTAATTTGCGCAAGACTCCCAAGGCTCTGCTAGTGTCCCCAGTTTGCAGCAGTGATGATTATTATGGGGTAAAGGGACTGGCTAACTTGAGTGGGTCAGTAGGGATCAGCAAACAGAAGTGTTTATATTAGAACACCATTTCCCGGTGCACCCGTGACTTGAGATCCCATAATGCATCTCAAGGAAGGCCAAACATGGGATCCCATTGTGCAGTCAACCCCGTGTCCTCAGAGAAGGTTAGCCCAGGCATGGAGAAGGGTTGGGACTTCAGGCCTTCTGGTCTCTGCGATTGGGCATGGCGGGCTTCAGTCACAGGCCTCATTCTGGAACTGTAACCCCTTTCCCAATTAACAGCTGGGTGCTCGCAGCTCCTTAACCATCATCCCAGATCGAGATCGCCATCTACGAGGACCGGTGCAGCAGCGGCAGTTCCAGTAGCGGCAGCAGCAGTGGCAGCGGCAGCGGCAGCAGCAGCGCTGGCGGGGGTGGGGCGGGGGCCCGGTGACTGGCCGAGAGTCCCTGCAGGGAAGTGTATGGCCGCAGCGAGGGGCTGGCAGATCTGCGGAGGCTGCATTACCAAAGCACCCGCTTCTGAGTCTTTCTCTGGGCCCACCCTGCCGTGTGGCTGGCGCGGGAGGGAGGTGCCCAATGGCAGGATCGTCCTCTTTCTGTCCCTGGACCTTTCTTTCTCCCACGGGGCTGGTCCGAGTCATCAGAGCCGGGCTTTCCTAGGGAAGCTTGAGGGTGGGGAAAACCCAGCTTGGATGCACCCCCTCTTCCTTGCCTTCTTCTCCCCACTCTAAGGAGAACCTGGAGAATTCCTCCCCTGCATGATCCTTTGCCTCCAAAGCCCGTGTCTTCCTGGACTCTGCTTCCCGGGGCTCTTCCTAAGGCCCAAGGCCACCGTGGGGCTCCTGCTTGTCAATGATCCCACTTCCTCTTGGAGATCTGGGGAGATGGGTGCCCTGGTAGCTGTCTAGCTGCTCCTAAGGCTGAGCTTCCCTATCTTTCACTCAGAGCGGAACACCCTCTCAGCCTTGCCAAGAACCACCCAACTCTGAGACTTTGCACCCCACCAGGAGCTGGTTATGGGTGTTCAGCCTGGGTCTCTAGGGGTGGGGGGAGGGACGGGGTGTTCCACGGGGCTATGGTAGAACCCCGAGGACGAATGCAGCTGGATCGAGCTTGAACTCCTGAACCGGAGCCAATTCCTGCATTGTGCGCATGCTCTGTGCACAAATGTATGTATGTGAGTTTATGCGTGGGGAAAGCCTGTGCACATGTGAGTATACAAGTGTATGAATGTGAGTATGTGTATGTGACTGCACAAGTGAGTGTGAGCGGGTGTGAGCACACTTGTGCGTGAACCTGTTTATCTGAGTGGATGAGTGAGAACGTGTATGTGCTCACACACGTGTGAGCAAGTTCTGCGTGCTTGTGCAGAAGTGCACTTGTGTGAGCATGAATGTCTGTGTGTGAGCACGTGTGTGTAGAAAGAGAGATGACTTTGTGTTCTCTCTGGCTGCTGGGCTAATGACTACCATGTCCTGCCCTGTTCGGTCCCACGATGGTCTGCAGCACCTCCCGGTGAGACCCTCCTGACCCCTCTGTAAGTCAGTGTCCTAAAGCCGGGCTGTGGCCTGGGTCTTCCTCCTGGCCTTCCTCCCACCTCTGGATCTGTTGTGCACATTCGAATGGAGGAAAGGCCGGGGTCCTTGGAGAACAGAGCCAATGTTTGGGTGGTCTTTGGTGCCCCTCTCCCAGTCCCCAGGACACAGTGGGGCCACAGGTGCTGCATATTCGGCCTGCCCAGATGTCGAGACCCTGAAGCCCTGCAGGTGAGGTTCCCTGGACATTCGAGGCAAATGTGCCATGCAGAGAAGGATTGGCCAGCCAGTGGTGCTGTGGCTTTCAGGAGGAGCCAGCGGGGGAGCATCCTGGGGCCTGAATATGAACAGAAAACAGGCGGCCTACCTCAGAGGGCAGCAGGTGCTACAAGTAGTCAGGCAACAGCAGCTACTACAGGTAGCTTTCTGGGCCTGAAAGGGTCCGGTTCTCTACTGGCCACAGCAGCAGCCTGTGACATCAGGAGACTGTGCAGAAAGATGGAGAGGACTAGCCAAGCCCCCGAAGCCCCAGGGAGCCCAAGCCCTGGTGCAATGAACCCCTTCTTCCCAAGTTGCAGCCCCTGACTCCCAGCAGAAGCCTGTGGCCTCTAGCCTGCTGTACAGCCAGGCATTGTGCCTGACCTAGCATATCCCGTTGGGAAGGTTGGGAAGAGGCAAGACGGAGACGTTTTGTTTTATTCTTTTTCCAATAAAAGGACTTGACGGCTTGAGGCTGCATGCTGTGTCCACTAGCACATGGTAGTGGGCTTAGTTCTGCACCCCAGGTTCACGCAGAGATGCTGGGCTGAGTGTGTGTGTGAGGAGGAGGAGAGACGACACAGGATGGATGAACCCTGTCTCCCTGCAGCTTGTGGGTCAGTGAGGAGGCAGACACCCCACCTTTACCACTCCTTAATCTGTGGTGGAACTGCAACCTTGGGTGGACACAATAGGTCCAAATAAAAGCTAAGCCAAAAGTGGGTTAGGTAGGGCCCGTTTCTTGAGCTCTTCTTCTAGGCCAGGCACTGTCTGGGTTGAATCACACCAGCCATCTTCATTACTGAAGACGAGAATGGGCTGGCAGGATGGCTCAGCTGGGAAAGTACTTGCCATGCAGGCCTGATGATCTAAGTCTGAGCTCTGGAACCCAAGTAAAGGTGAAAGGAGAGAACCAACTCCACAAAGTTGTCCTCTGAGCTCTACACATGTGCACCATGGCCTGTGTATACCCCTCACCCTACAAATGCATATATTAATTTATGAAAAGATGAGAACACAGATATCAGAAACTAGCATAGCTATGCCTTAGAAATCATAAAACCAAGCATTAACCACCTATGATATAGCAGACACTTTTCTAAAACCATATTCTAGAGACAAGGAGGATTTTAAAGATTAGCTGAGTCTTCTCAAAGGTCTCAGGAGGTTGAGTAATGTGCCCCTGGTTATAGGGCTGGTGGGTGAGTTACAGTAGGGATTTCCTACCAGATAGGAGTTGCCTGAGGCTATAGTGGGACTAGGCCACACAGATCTTCTGGTCAGGATCTGATCCAGAGGGGACCTCATTAGACCACAGGAACCACAGTTCTGGTCCTGGGGTGGGGCCAAGAGGGAGGTGGTCTCTGGGCGGTGTGGAATAGAGCTCCAGGTAGCTCCAAAGTTTCCACTTGCTGCTTCTAAGGGGCACCTGCTCTACACCCGAGCCCCGTGTGGAGCCTGGGCCTTTGCCTATGCTCAGTCTTGGGAAGTGAGCAGGTAGGTTGGGGAGCTGCTCCCCTGGCAGGGAGAGTCATGCTTCAGTTCTGCTTGGGTGGGAAGTTTGCTGTAGCCTGAGGTCAGGCTTGAACCTCAGTCAAGCTGTTTAGTGAAGAAGCCCAGAAGTCTGGGGACTTCAAATTGGTAAAAATTCACCCAACACTCCCCCGCTCCCAGAGCCCGACTTGCTGAGAGGCACTCAACTCTCCCACTTTGAAATGTCAGTGATAATGGTGATAACCAAAGCTGTGCTGGACAGATGGCTCAGCAGTTAAGAGTACTTCCAGAGGACCCGAGTTCAGTTCCCAGCACCAGCATGGCTGTTCATAACTGTAACTCTATTTTTAGGGGGACCTAATACCTCCTTTGGCACCAGGCACACACATGGTACATAGATATACATGTATGCAAATACGCGTACACATTTAAAGAAAACCTTTTTTTAAAAGGAAGGAAAATGGTAGCTAGCATTTGTTTATGCTTATTGTGTGTCGGGGCCTTAACTAGGCTAAGGCCCTACATCATTCATTGCTTAGACCTAGGGAACTCTCCTTGGTGGGTATTTCTATCCCCACCCTACAGATGAGACGCAGGCACAGAAGTTAAATGGCCCTGTTTACTCAGGGAGTAGCAGAGCTTGGCTTTGAATCTAAGAAGGAGTCTGCAAACGACAGAAAAGAGCAGGGCTGCATCCAGCATCAAAGGTCCCTCAGTTACTCGGATGCTGGAGCTGTGGATTCCCAGGGACGAACCTGGAGCTGTTGGTGTCTGGGCTCTGAAGCAGGACTGGCACCTCCATGCCCATAGCACAGGATATGGGTTTTGAGCTGTGCTCACAGGCGTGTAGGACCCACAGTGGGAGCCCAGTGAACGACAGGGGAGACCTGACTTTGCAGATCTGATGAAGGGTGGCTTTCTCTGCTGCCTCTGTTCTTGAAGCCATGGCCTGTCCCTTCTGGCTGGTTGCAACAATGTCACTACTTCCCCTTGACAACCAGACACAAGCCCCCAAAGGACAGGATATTCCTGGTTCCATTTCAACGGCACACTCCAGGCAGCTTTTGGTGCATGCCTTGGCTTTGTTCTGTTGCTTTGGTTAAAGATAGGGCCTGTGTGACACGAGGTCCATGGAGTTTACAGAAGTTCGAGGTGCCGCCAAGTGGCGGGATCATGTACTGCACCTGAGAGTCAAAAGCCTGCAGAAAAGCCACTCAGGTATTGTAAGACTTCCTCAAGCAACCTAACTAAGGGGGCAAATGTTGCTTGTGGCGCCTAGAGGTTTGGGTCAAGAGAGGACACCCGAGACAGCCACTCTTTCCCTCCGCATCCAGTTTCAGCTGCTTCAGGAACTGCTGGTCTGGGAATTCCTCCCCCACATCCCATGTGGACCTTGTAGGAAGCACCCCCACCTGGCCGTTGCCGTCGATTCCCCCAAGGACAAGCTGCTGGAAAGGTGGCTCCGAACAAGGCACAAGCATGCCTTATAGGCAGCCTCCATTTCCTTAGTCATCAAATAGGAAAACACTTCACATGATTGTCCAGACCTAAGCCCAAGGCCTGGATTAAAAACACAGGCTCCACAGAAGTCACCAGACACAGCCTGGGACAAATTCAAAGACAGACACAGTTGCCTAAGGAGAAAGACCTAACATGGCTGTTCTGCTACTGAGGCCGGTAGAGGAGGGGGCTCTGGGGACCCCTCAGGCCCCCACTCTTCTGCTTCAGGGCCAGAGAGCTGGTATTATAAGGATCTTACTTCTTAAAACTTCAGTGTACTGTACACATGAGATCTATGCATTTTTCTGTTTTATTGTTTAGTCATATTAACCGAAGAAGTCCAAGATAGAAAAAAGAAAGCACAACATTGAAATTCATGTTTTTTTTATTGAAGATCTATTAATATGTCTCATGTCAAATCAGACAAGTGCAATTCAACATGACATATGTGTATGTGTGTATGGCACCCGTTTGCCGTGTGTTGTGGATATATACAAAAATATTTGATATGCTGAGGCTGCCAAAAGAGAAGGTCCCTAGTGCCTAAGAAAATCTAAAACAGGGTATCACTATGTAGCTCTGGCTGTCCTGGCACTCACTCACTCACTCACTCACTCACTCTCACTCTCACTCACTCTCACTCACTCTCACTCACTCACT